GTTCTGCACATTTTTTAACAAGTTGTTTGTTTTTTTTGTTGTTTTTTTAGACATTAATATTGTAAGACGAGATGTCCATTTTAAAGTTAAATTGCTGGAACTCTTCACAACTAAACTAAAAAAATCATCCTCCATAAAATGCCAAACGAAAGCCTCTGCTTCTAATTGATTAATTGAGAGTGTTTGACAGGCTCCAGATCCTTTAAAAATCCACACCAGAGGAAATAATTTGCACCCAGACCTTTGGAAAAGGTTCCGAAACCCCTGGCTTTTCTTTGCTAGCAACTGATGAGACATTGACATAAAACGGCTTTAGTGAGGGGCCCTTAAACAGTAGACACCTTAATAATTAGACACAATATGCATTCTGTTAGCAATTTCTGTAAAGTCTGATATTTGTAATTATATTAAAAACCTAAATATTGTAAATGCAGCAGTGGATTAAGTATCAATAATAACGGTGTTAATGATATCTCTAAAGGCCCCATTACCACAGCCTCTCTTTCCAAATGTTCCAATGCCCAAGCAACTATAAACCCTTTCATCTGTGTGTACGCGTCACCATGGCAACTCCAACTTCCTGCCCATTCTGTTAATTTCTGTAAAGTCTGATCTTTGTTATTATATTAAAAACCTACATATTGTAAATGCAGCAGTAGATTTAGTATCAATGATAACAGTGTTAATGATCTAAAAAAGTTAAACAGCCTCTCTTTCAAAATGTTCCAATGCCCAAGAAACTATAAACCCTTTCATCTGTGTGCACGCGTCACCGTGGCAACTCCAACTTCCTGCCCATTCTGTTAACGATTTCTGTAAAGTCTGATATTTGTTATTATATTAAAAACCTAAATATTGTAAATGCAGCAGTAGATTTAGTATCAATGATAACGGTGCTAATGATATCTCTAAAGGCCCCATTACCACAGCCTCTCTTTCCAAATGTTCCAATGCCAAAGAAACTATAAACCCTTTCATCTGTGTGTACGCGTTACCGTGGCAACTGCCCGGGGAAAAGGTCCCGTTCTCACCTCTGTGATGACAGACAGCTCCTCCACGCCGCTCCACTCCGGCTCGTAAACGTCGCGCAGCGTCTGCGACAAACGCCTGGACGTCTCGTGCACGGCTGTGGGGGGGGGGGCATTTAACTTTAGACTGGCAGCCATTTTCAGAACAGAGTCCCATACTGCCAGAGTTTTTGGAGCATTTTGACTGATTTTTCCAGAGCCACAGAATAGTTTGTGCTATGACTATGTAAACACCGAACACACCAAAAGAAAGAGTAGACTCTCTTCTTTCATCAGGAAAAAAAATGTGTTTCTCCCTTATTCCGTTCTTCCTGGACTTGCGTCTCACCGGCGACATGTTCTCTCATAGAACCGTTCCCTTTTTCTTATTTGCCTACAGTCTATGCTCATCTCCCATCAAAAGTGGCACTGCCCCCTAGAGGGTCAATTTGTTACTACATACTCTGTCTAGAAGCCGATATTTACGGACAAGCTTTAGCAGATCGTCCCCCAGACACTCTCGTTGAAAAACATAAAAGACCTCTATAGACGTCTTTGGCAGTCAATGAGTTAAAAAGGCGGCCTGGGCCCCAGACTTCCCAGCAGGGGTGTCGTTTTTAACCGGTTTGTGTGGCTGCTACACCCACAAAAACCTCAGAAGCTCGGGCTGTACTGGGAGTTAATTTCTCCTTGGTGATCAATAAAGTATTCAACCAATCAATAAGGTAATCAGCGGCTTCCTGACTTGCACCGGCAGCCCAGAAACAACGTTTCCATGGTTTTCAGCAAAGGGAGGCACCCCCACAAACACTCACCCTTCACTGCTGCAAAGTAGGCTTTCACGTCTTTAAACAGCCGGGTTCCATCCGTCTGTTTGCAAAAAAAAAGGAGGAAAAAAAGCATAAAACACAAAGAAGTTATACAGTAAAACCTCTATATACGAGTTTAACTGGTTCCAGGAGTGACTTCTATGTGAAATATTGGTGTGTTGGTTCAAATCTTCAATCAGAATACTCTGTAATTCCTAGAATTGGTTCCAAAAACCTAAGATAACTCCTTAATAAATACTGCAGATAATTACACATAGGAATAAAACAATTGACTTCTAGAAGAGAGATGTAAGAAGAAATAAATAATGAAGAAATAATCAATAAAAGGGTTTTTTTTTGGCACTTATTGGTAAACGGAGGTAGATGTGGAGACTGAGATACAGGACCAACCCTAACTTACTCTAACTTTCACTACCTGAACTTTAAACTAACTAAGCTTATTTATTTCTATTTGTTTTCATTTTTTTATATATTTTTCAATGACTGACTTTGTTGTGAATTTACTTTGTGTGTCGAGTCGAATATTTGATACTTTAAACTAACTTAGCTTATTTATTTCCATTTGATTTCATATTTTATATATATTTTTCTACGACTTCGACATATGTTGTGAATTTACTTTGTGTGTTGAGTCGATTACAGTGGGTGAAATAAGTATTTGAGCCCTTGCTGATTTTGCAGGTTTGCCCACTTACAAAGAATGCAACGATCTATAACTTTAATCATATGTACATTCTAACAGTGAAAGACAGAATCCCAAAGAAAATTCCAGAAAATCACATCATATGAATTTATAAAAATTGATAACCATCTGATGAGGAAA